TGTGCTCTAACCAGCCGATCGATACCCTTCGTGGAATATTCGATCTTTAATTCTTGAATCGCCTCTAACAATTCCGCGGAAATAATTGGTTCCGGTAGATTTGTAGGCACCGATTGGGATGTGTTTTTCTTCGCGGGATCTATGCCAAACATATCCTTCACCCATTGTGTGAAATATGGAAGTTCCTTGTTGCCTATAGGATACCTGTGAACATTTAATTTCTTTTTTTTTTTTTTTTTCGAACACTGGTTCAATCTCTCGAAAATCTTCAAAATTATAATCCTGCTTAATTATATACGTACAATTGTTTCTTTTTTTAATTTTAAAAGAAACATGAAAAAATCGTTTTAAAGCTAAAGTGTAAAATATTAGGTTTACTGAATTTCTAAGATTACTCATATTTCGTATATTTAGTTTTTAAAGAAGAACGGAGTTAAACGAAGAGAAAATGTTTCTTATTTGCCCTATACATTTATTAACGATGACAACGAATAATACACGTCAAAAAATTTAGATTACACTAACACCCTCTTCTATCCGGCCTCGTTCTAATCTGTTACATTTTCGTCGAGAGGCCCAGCAGGAAAACGAAATTAACACACTCCATGCTATGTAGTCCATCCGCGTGATCTACGGTATTTATCATTTATATTATCGAATAAACGAGCGTATTTGTTAGATTTAACTCTGATACAAAGTGTTACAAAGTAGGAGAAAACGAAGCTGAAAGTGTGAACAATGTATTTCTTTCTCAAAATCAAATTCATCAATTTAGATCGAACACATTTTTATGATATTAAAAAAGTGAGATAAAGAAAAGTTCTATTCCTTTTCTTCTAGTTACGTAAATACCATTGTAGTACCGGTACACGTGTTACGAGCATTACGTTCGGTTATGTTTAATCAGTATATCTTATCGTAGTGATTCTTTCTAGATCTAATCGCGTGTTCCTTATATGTAGATTAAAGATCGTTAGTTAACGATAGTAGCTAATAGTGATTGCATTTCTAAATACTAATTCGTTGAAATGTATGCACAAAATAAAATGTTACAAACAGCATAATTTTTAATACGTTTCGTAATATTTTATCGTCAAATATTTATACCAATTTGGGTTAATCGAATGTAATTGATTTCTGTTAAAAACTATTTAGTTTCACAAAATGAATTTTTAAATTAATATTCATTTATTTTCAAAAAATTAATTTTTCAA